GACAGAAAATTAGGTAGGCGGAGTAAACAGAATAGAATGCTGGGAAGAGGGCTATGAGGCAAAAGCCATGGAGCCAGCCACCAGGTCAGACATGCTGAATCTTTTCCGGTAAGCCACCACCTCGTGGTGCTACAGATTATTAGAAATGGGTTAATATCAAGATATGAGAGTTAGTCAGTATCTAACTCTCTAGAGATAATGGGCCAGGCAGTGCTTAAATGAATACAATTTGTGTGTTGTTATTTCTGGGACTAAGCTAGCCATGCAGGAGCCGGGCGGGATGAAAAGCAGGCCTGCCCGTAGCTCCTTTCTACAGCCCAAGATTTGGGAGGCAGAATCAGATGGATCTCTGTCAGTTCAAGGGTGCCCTGAACTACACAAGATCAATGCAGAAACAAATCCAGGTGGTGGTGGTGGTGGCTCACATCTTTAATCCCAGTACTCGGGAGTCACATACCTTTAATCTCAGCACTAGAGGGAATATAAAATTGGAAGAGAGAAAGGTTTAGCTGCTTAGTTTACATCACCCAGACTTGGTAGAGGTTAAGACTTCTCTAGTGGCTTGACTGCTTGGCTTTTCTGGTTTTCGGATTGAATCCCAGTTTCTGTCTCTGGGTTTTTATCATTCATGCTACAATGAGAGTAAGTTGGTTAATATATCCAAAGCATGGTAAGCATGTGTGGTATGTGGCTGTGTATGGGGGTGGTGGTGTCAGCAGTGGAAGGGAGAGTAGTCTAGTACCACCAACCACAAAACTGAGGGGACATGAGGGGACACTCCCCGCCCCCATGCCCCTCCACACCTTGCCAGGGACCCCCACTAAAGTAAAGGTATATCATTGACTATACTGCAGAAAAGAATTTCAAGATAGAGAGACACAATAGTTGGTAAGTTTGTTAAATAGTGAAATAGATAGTGTGTGTGTGTGTGTGTGTGTGTGTGTGTGAAAACAGTACATATTCAAGACATGACATGGGTGTCTAGGTGTCCGCACAATGTCCTCATACATGATCCTGTGGAGTTCTAAGTTCAAAAGATGTGGGCTAGAGGTGGCTGGATGGGTAAAGGTGCTGACCACACAAACCTGGTTGCCTGAGTTAGAATCCAGGAACCCACATGAAGGTGAATGGAAGAACTGATCCCACAGAACTGTCTTCAAGCCTCCACACACATGTAGTGGCTCCTGCGCTATACCCCATCGCTCTCACACACATAATAAATAGGAAAAAACTTGAAAATATTGATTTACAGCAGGTTTAAAGATTAAACAAAATGTAAAAGTACTAGGGGCTAAAAGATGGCGAGGAGCATGCAGTGACTGTATTAAGGGCATGAGACTGGTTCTCAGCCCCCACAAGAGAGCCCTCACAACAGTCTGTGACCCCAGCCAGCCACCAGAGACCTCGGACCTCCGTACACACAGCACTCCAGCGGACACAGCCTCTCCTTAAGACACATAACAAAAATGAACTGATACACTTATTTTTTTCTTATCTTAAGGAATTTCCTTTTGCAAATGAAATTATAAGGTTGTTTTGCAATGCGTATGGCATAGATTTGGTATGAGAGGAGCGCTAATATAGTAGAACTCATGGCCCCAAACTCCTGGACCTAAGCTATCCTCTGGCCACAGCCTCCTAGATAGCTGGAACTATTGAAGTGTGCGACCATCCAGCTACTTAGATACAGAAGAGGAAATTGTCATCGGTGAAATACGAGCTATGAGAGGCACCCTCGTAAGGTCTATGAATAGCACAAATGGACAGAATTTTATTTTCTCCTCAGGGATTTCTGAAGGAAGCAAGAAAATATCTTTCACCGCTTTGCACAACAGAAATCAACGAACAGTTTATATGGCTTTGATTATTTCTCAAGCACACTCGTTCTCATAAGTCTGTGAAATCATTTTGTTGCTATTGTTGTTTGGAAATTTTTTTTTTCTTTTGAGAGAGAGGGCTTTGTGTAGACCAGGAAGTGCTTGAACTTCGGGTGTAGCTTAGGATGATCTTGAATTTCTGAGCCTCCTGCCTCTACTTTCTAAGTGTTAATGTTACAGGTGTGTGCCACTGTGCCAAGGTTGTGTGATAAAAAAAAAAATTTTGGAATTAACGGCCTTTGAAGTGGAGGTAACGGTGAGCTGGACTGTAAACCTCCTTAGGAAGAATTGCTTTTGTGATTACCAACTGTTCTAGAAAGCTAGAAACCTAAGTTGGAGATTATATATTTTGGGGTTTGGGGGTAAAGAGCGAGTCTGCAGAGATCCTAAAGGAACTAAGCAAACATTTGGTAGCAGGGCCTTTCCCACTTCCATGCTACAGTTGACACCGTAAGATAGGAACCAGTGACAAGAAGTGCCATATGTCCCATTGGTTTTTTTTATTTATAAATGGAGAAGGGTTCAGGGATGTCAGCAGCCCTGTCCTCCTCTGGCCATGTGTAGAATGGACAGGTGCAGGCGTCAGACGCTCAGAACTCTTTCTATGGTGGTTGAAACCCGGACTGAGGGTGCAGCATAGACAGCAGGCCTTGCAGCTGGCAGGTAGAGAGGCCGCCTCAGAAGCTCGGCTATGTGGACACAGCTGGGCTACCAGGGCTGTCTCCATCCTCTGCAGGGCTACAGCAGATCTTTCCCGCACCCCTCTCTTCTCTCCCAGGACTATTAAAAAGACCTGTCGACCTTCTCACTGTACTCTCTCTTCTCCCCTTCCCCGTTCTCTTTCCGAGAAGATTAGGGCTTTTAATGGTAGAAACATTTGCTGGCTGCACTGAAAGGCAATTTTCACTGGATTTCAGACACTCTGGGGACACCGCTTTGCTCTGGAAGCTTGGAATATGGTTTCCAAAAGCAACTTTATCTGCTCTCAGTCCCAAGAGCAGAAAAGCTGTATATAAATTTAACAACCTGTATTTGTTAAAATAGTTCAGTGAAACTCAGGGTCTTTTTTCTTTTCCAGTTCTTAACTAGGATTTTCTATTTCATTTATTTTTCCCTTCACTGAGTTTATTTTAAACTACCTTTCTCTTCCTCTAGTTTTTTATTTTTGAGTGAATTATTATATACTTCATAGTCTACTACTCTGCACTTGAAACATCTAATTATTTTATAATTGTAACTTTGTTTCTTTAATTTTTCTTCATTTTCCATTCGGTTGCGTTTTCTAATGTCCTTTTCCCTCTTGCTACAATACCTTGAATGTAAAAAGGTTTATGACTTAAGGGGTAATTCATGGGCTTTCTTCCACTTTCTCCCTCTTTTCCATTCCATGTCTCAAAATTAAAGACTAGAAAGGTAGTTAGTAGAGGCCTCTCCCAAATCAATGAGCTGGCAATAGATAGAAGTGACAGTCACCTACCCTAAGAATGAAGCCACAACTCAACTTCCTTTCCCCCAGACGTTTTTCCTTTTCTTTCTTTATACCACACTTAGGAGCTCTCGAATTCTTCAGCTCAGTCTCAACCTCCACTGGGGTCATCTCCAACCTGACTCCCCACCAGCATGATTGTCTTGCCTACAAGATTTCCCACAGGTCAAGACAATGCTGTTCTCTCTGAAATGCTCAGTGTGAAGCCTAGATTATACATTTCCTCCTTATCCATGCCCTTGTTCCAGCCCTCCCTTGAGGACATGCATAACACTCCTTTGAAAGATCATGCGTGTATGAAAATCAAATAAATGGATGAATAAAATATCTTTAGCAGAAAACCACATACCAAGATATACTAGATCTAAACTTGTTCAACGTATGTATTGAGATCAAGTAGAACATAACAGTTGATCTGAGTGATGAGCTTCATAGCCACCACGTACATACCACAGTTGTTTATGCTAAATAGTTCTCACAACTATAATTATAGTTACTTTGATATAATCAAATGCTGACTTTTAATTAAATGATTATAGTCATAATTTGGTGCCAAGCACCCAACCTAAGGTCTCAAGGATATGCTATACCCCAAGCCATATTTCTATATTTTATACTCAAGATGATTTATGCTTACCTCCCTTGGGTTTCTCCACCTTCCTGTGTGATCTCCTTTCCTGTCATTTCTCCTGAAGGCTTGGTCCCAAGTATATAAACTGGGGAGGGGGGGATTAGAGTATGGATGGTCCTTTTATAAAAATAAGTTTTTCTGGGTCACTCCTCCAGAATTTTACTTATAGCACTTATTCAAGGCATGGGATTGCTTCTGAACCTATACTAATCATGATTTGCTTGGAAAAGTCTCCTTTAGTGAGCTCCGTTTTAGAGCTGGGAATGTACTATAGTTGGTGGCTTGCTTTCTTAGCATGCGTGAAACCTGAGTTTGAGCAGTAACACCACAGAAACTGGGCATGATGACCCACTCTGTGCCTGCAACCCTAGCATTTAGGAGGTAGAGGCAGGAGGATCAGAAGCTGAAGATCATTCTGAGCTGTACAGAAAGTCTGAGGCCAGCCTGGGATGCATGAGACCTTGTCTCAAACAGAAAAGACAAAAAAACAAAGCAAAAGCAAAAACTCAAAATACAATACTACCATCATCAAAAACAGGTTCAATTCTTCCATAGTCCCGTCTAGAGGAGAGATTAGGGTGGCTCAAATAGACACAGGCTCTCACAGTCCCCGGGATGTTTAAATGCCTCTCACAGATATTCAAAGAGTGAACTAAAGTATCTCTTAGCCAGCTGGGCATAAGACTAGAAGGTTGGATAAAGCATGGGTGTCTCTATTTTGATTGAGTTGGTTGTTTTAATAGCAGCTGACATTTCCTGACAGCTGATAGGAAATTTTACCACCAGCCGTTTTCATAATGACTATTCTTAGTTCGCAAAATAGCATAGTGAAGGATGAAAGTTTTTAATTTTTGAAGTTACATTCTTCCGCTCCCCTCACCTCCCTTTTTGCTCCTTGTCCTGAAATGGCAAGAGAAAGCTTCCTAGCTGGCGTCGGCCCAGCTGATATCAGTTACAACGCCGCTACTAGTCCTTGATCAGGGAACAAACACACATGTGTCAGTATAAATTATTGCCAGCGTTCTCCCTCCGTCCCTGCACCTGTCTCTGGTCTGTCACAAAAAGCTGTCATGTGTTTCCTTTTAAAGAAGCAGAGTGTTCGTCGGTCGTGTAACCAGAGACATCCAGTGTGGGACTGCGCACACGAAAAAAATCCCACTGCTGTTCCCAATGCCCACTCCTCAGAGCAGAGCAGGGAGCACAGGGAACTTAGAAAGTGGTCCTGCTAGACCAGGGCCGGGAAGGCAACTACAAGGCCAGGGACGTTACAGCTGCTCCCAGAGAATGGACTCCACACGTCAAAGAAACGACTTCTGGATTGTAGGTAGTGTGTGCCTCCTGTCGTCTTCCGTCTTCTGGCGCCTGTTTCGGTCAGTGCTGACATGGGAAAGCCCCAAGCAGGCTCCTGCACTTGAGGACGCACAGGTAGTGAAATTCTCTTTATTGAGGGCTGATTCACTTTGCAATTCTCTTTGAATATTGCCAGCCTAGGACAGCTGCTCACCAAAGGCAGTTGGTCCGTGCCTTGCTGGATCTTTGCCCAGGACTACTGTCTTAGGACAGGCTGTGATAATAATAGTGACGCGGGGCTCCTTCCATCGTTTCTAGCAATTGGACCGACATTCGGGGAATCTTGAAGCTGCTGTATCAGGGATTAATTTAAACTGATGATCTTCTTGGGGTATGAACGCTGAAAATAATGGTGGCATCACTTCGTTTTTGTCCTTTTTTGTATGTTCTAGAAAAAAAGAAAAAAAAACATGTAAGATTTGTCCCGTTCACAGGAAATCTTTTGTAGGCACAGCACTGAGAGGTGTTGAGATCTTGGAATGTTGCCTTCCGTGTTCTGGTTGCTGCTGATACAATTTTTCATGTGACGCAGAAGCTAGTCCTGTGATGGAACTCGGTGGACAAAATACAATTCTAGAAGAGAAACAGTTTCCAATCTAAGACTGTAGTACTTTCCAGAGAGAAGGAGTTCAATCCCAGGAAAACAGCTTTCTCTATGGACTTAATTGTTTTATCCATTATCGTCTGCTACGTTGTTTTCAAACACTTTAGACAGCCTAGCAAGCAGGCAGAAGACCATGTGGGGCAGCACTCCTGTTGGAAGGCAGGCTTGTAGCAGTGTTTCTCGGCACCTTTTCCTTTATCTTCCCCCTCCCCGTCTTGATCTCCCCATGGAATTGTATTTCCTTTCTTTAAGTTGTCTTTTTCTGAAGGGCTAGAGAGGGGCCTAGTTGGTGAAGTGCTTGCGGGGCAACCACGAGGGCATGAGTTTAACCCTAGAACCCATGTAAGAGTGACAGGCCTGGTGAGCCATCTTGTCAACTCACTGCTGGATCTCAGTGCTCGCCAGCCAGCCAGGCTAGCCTAATTAGTGAGCTCCAGGTCAATGAGAGACCTTGTTTCAAAAGGAGGTAGGTGGTGTTGCTGAGGACAATATCTAACCCCCCCAACACACACACACACACACACACACACACACACACACACACAAAATTGTATGCCTACAGTGCTAGGTGTCAATCTCAGAGTCACAGTCCAGTCCTTCCCATGAAATTTATTTCTACAGATACCCTGTTTGAGATACATACATACATATACACACACACACACACACACACACACACACACACACACACACACCATTGAGTACCTTGATACATTATATGTATGTGCATACTTCGCACATACAAAGAGTAAGGTTTTCTTCATCTCTTCTCCCCCAAAAGCCATTGTTCCCCAAAGAGCAATGGGGGTTATTGCTGCACCGGTAATCTGTGATGTACGTGGTGGCTTGATAATTGTGCATCCATGCATTACTTAAATCTTATCCTATGAGAAGCATTTGTTCTGCCTCTTGGTGGTGTTCAGATGACACAGCTCTGTGCTTCTCTGATGCCTGAGCCTTTCCTGGGGTCCCTGCTACATGGGCACTTCTTTGATTATCAAGTTCCTGTTCAAAACAACAGCCAAATCTTGGAATAATTACTAAATGACTTTATCTTAGTTGAGGACAAGGTAAAATCAGTGGAATTAAAAACAGCGACAGAAAAACATAAACAAATAAACAAAACCCTGAAGCGTATATAAACATGTCTCTTGGCCAGTCCTGACATCATAGTTGTCGGTCTTTTCAGACCCAGTCACTGGTACCCAAGCATTAATCATATCTGGCTGTTTAATGTATCTTTTATGGGAAATATCAGGAGGGTTACAGTTCTTCTGTGAGAAATTCTGTGAGGGCTTTCAGCTTCTGGGTGGAAAAAAATGGCATTCACTGAAGCCCCGAGATGAGGCCCCTGGTGTTTCTACCTCTGCTGTTTGACAATGAAAAGGTTAACAAGCCCTTAGAAGCACCACATATATGTGTGAAAGGTTCTTGTAGTTTTTTAACTATAAAGAAAAGCTCATTTATGTCTTATTTACAGCATAACTCTCATCTTTTTCATCACTAATGATTATTTATAACATTGGCAACTGTTTATCTTTGAAGTTTGCCCGAGCACACAGTTTAGGGGTTTTCCTTCACAGAGATGCCAGAGAATCCATTTGTAATGTTAACATGTTCTCTCCACTCAGGAGGTAAAGGCTTTCCAATGCACTGTATAGCTGACTGCTCATGTAAGGTTCTATATGCCCTTGAGTACGTGTACAGATGAGTAACCTTACCATGGATGTTGGCTCGGTATTTGTGAATAGTCAAAATTATGATAATTTTATATAGTTTCTTTTAGTTGTTACAATATGAAGAAAATATCTCTAGTTTCTCTATATCTCTACCAAAAGTAAAACAACATAATTAAAAATATAATTGTTGCTAGCTATGTCTATGTTTCTAGGTAAGAGAATGCTTAACATACATCTTAATGAGATTCCTAAATATAATTTACCAAACTGTGTTCCTATCCATTTCCCCAAATCGTTATGGTTGTAAAATGTACATTTATCTGTTAGCATTACTCAGCCCTTCGTTTTTCACAGACTATCTCCATGGCTTTTACTATACAATTGACCCTCTGTATCCACGAATTGCACATCTGTGGATCCAGTTAGCCATGGAGGAAACATTATGTCTGTACAGAACATCTGTAGACATTTTTCCTTATAATTATTCCCTAAATAATAACAAATAACAGCTATCAGCAATCACACTGTGTTAAGTGTTATAAGTAAGCCAGAGATGATTTAAAGCATAGGAAAAGAGGTGCACACTCATGTGTAAACCTCATCCCATTTTGTAGAAAAGGCTTTTCAAAGACTTGGGAGGGATTCAGGGAACAGATCTCCAAAGTGTACATGTCAAAAAATGTTCTTTCATGTTACTTTTATTTTTAATTAATATTTTAATGTGTCAACCCATTTAAAACATTTTTTAGTTAAAGCAAAAATGCAGCAGTGTGCTAAATACAGATCTTCCAAATGCACAGCATCACATGCACAACGTAAATTTTAAAATGGTTTGTTATTGTGTGACCTCAGAGAACCTAAAATCTCTCACAACTAAGGTTGTCCCTGGAGCACTGGCAACAGAAACTCTTTCCCAGTCTTTGCCCCGAGGAATTTACTTCTCATTTTCTGTCTAACATGGTGGCAAAGTCCAAGGAAGCCAAAGTAAGCAGGTAACTGCAGTCTTGTTTCTAGAGAAAAGGGGAAATTGGTAACAAGAGGTGTTTACTATAGAGCACTGATATCGGGAACCTTTTGCTCAGGGTTTATAGCCAGCATTTATATCTCGTGTCTCCAAATTGTCACTCCTAAGTTCCCACAAGAAACCAGGGCTTGTGTTTGGATCTTTAATTTGGGAATTGACTCTTAGAAATAGTCATGGAAGCTCTGTGTGTGAGATAGAGAAAGAAGGAAGCCCCAGTGTGATGCTAGTTAAACTAACCACTGAGGACAGCAGGTCTCATTGTAGGTCCCGTTGGAGGACCGAAGTCCACCTGGCTGCCGCTTTTGCTGAGCTTAGCAGGGTTGTCTCTGGGTAAACATGATTCACCTGATGTGCTCTCAGAAATGCCGGAGAACTCTAGTGAGGTAACAAGTTGTACCTCTGAGCGGGACAGGAAGAGTCCCCATTGAGTTGCCCCAGCAACAGCTGGAGCAAAGGTAGACCAGACTGTGAAGAGGATCGAGAACAACGTATAAACACGGAAGTTTCAAGGTTCAGTCTTTGAGGTGCTGCAATCAAGATAGTGTCCTTTTACTCAATTGCAGATTGAAATATTGTTGTTGATGTTGCTGTTGTTATGAACTTATTTTTGTTTTATCAGTTTCCAGCTTGTAGTGTTTTTGGTATTATTGGCTTGTCTGAGGGAAAATTGCTTAATTTAAGATGGAAGTCATGAGGAGGCAAGAACTAACACCAAAATAAGACTTCACTGGGGACTGTGGTTGAGCACAAGGGAGACAGTACATAGCTTTGGGTCCTGGGATTGCTGCTTGCGGAGATCAAGGCTTACTAGATATATGCAGCCTAGTGGTGCGTGCCTTTAATCCCATCACACAGGAAATAGGCAGATCTGTGAGTTGGAGGTCTACCCAAGTTACATGGTTAGATCTTGTCTGAAAATAAACGGTACATAGAGAAAAAAAGGTGGGCTTAACAGGTATCCTGCACACTGTTGCACAGAATCCCAGTATATCTGCATACCTCGTCAGTTCTTTCTGTCCGGTTCTGCACTTGATGTAGACACAAGACTCATGAACATTGGGTCTTTCTGCCCCAGGCTCACCAACAATGGTGGAGGCGCTTACTATTGCTCTCCATCCCTATGAAGGGTACTTGTTATATGGAGGGAGTCGGCTTCCTGAGCCTGGTCATTGGTGGAAACTGCTTTCTGGAAGCAGCCAGGTTTCAGCAGGAGTCTTTTGTGGGCATCGGGGCCTCCTCTGCTCTTTCTCAGAGGCACACACTTTGACACAAGCTGGAGTACTCAGAGATGAAGGAGCTTCAATGAGGAAAGCCTCCATGAGATCCAGTTGTAAGGCTTTTTCTCAATTAGTGATTAATGTGGGAGGTGGTGGCTGGTGCTATCCCTGGGCTGCTGGTCCGAATTCTATAAAAATACAGGTTTGCCTGGTGATGGTGGTGGTGGTGCACGCCTTTAGTCCCAGCACTCGGGAGGCAGAGGCAGGCGGATCTCTGTGAGTTCGAGGCCAGCTTGGTCTACAAAACTAGTTCCAAGACAGGCTCCAAAGATACAGAGAAACCCTGTTTTGAAAAACAAAAAGACAAAAAACAAAACAAAGCAACAACAACAACAAAGCAGGTTGAGCAAGCCAGGGAAAGCCAACCGCCTCCATGGCCTCTGCATCAGCTCCTGCCTCCAGGCTCCTGCCCTGTTTGAGTTCCTGTCCTGACTTTCTTCAGTGATGAACGGGAATGTGGAAGTGTAAGCCAAATAAATTTTTTTCCGACT